ATGAGCTCCAACCCCACCGGACAGCCGGGTCCGTCGGGCCAACCAGGCCAGACCAACGGCGCCAGTCCCAAGCCGCCTCTCAAGAAGATCCCACCACACCTCCTCCGGCGCAAGAAGGCCGACCCCCTTGTGGCCCGCAAGAAGCCTGTGCAGCGTCCGCCCACAGCCCCGGGCACCAGCATTCTGTCGTCGGCCAACCGGGCCGGCATCACAGCGTTCAGTCTGCCGCCCGAGGCGCGGACGCTCAACACGCTCACTGCGGACGAAGAGGCCAAGAAGCTGGCCGCGTTCAATGCGCAGCGCAAGGCCAACGGCGGATGGACAGACCCCGCGCCCGAGGGCGGCTACCGCGAGTTCCCGGTTGTGACGACGAAGCGGGCGCTGCGCGACGGCATCCGCTACCATGTGATGCGCTTTGCCAAGGCGGGCAAGGGCGGCGACGACAATGCCGAGATTGACCCGACGAACCAAGACGACTTCACGCGGCCGGTGTCGCTGCACCGCCGCGATCCCCGGCAGCCGGCGCCCGGCCGGGCCGTCAAGGAAGAGGCGACACCGGCACCCGAATCGGTGGCGACGGCGGACGACAAGGAGGCCGAGAAGGCCGCGCAGCTCAAGGCGGAGCGCGAGGCACAGCGGGCGATTGACATGGCCCAGATTGCGCCAGTAGCAGCCAAGGAGTCGGCGCCCAAGAAGCCGGTGCAGCAGCAGAAGAAGGAGAAGCAGTTCCAGCTGTACTTTCCCAAGAACACGGCCGAGCAGAAGAAGGAGACAGAGATTCGCTACGAGGAGGCGCTGCCATGGCACCTCGAAGACGCTGACGGCAAGAACGTGTGGGTCGGCACGTACGTGTCGGCGCTCTCGGAGGCCAACGTGGCGCTCGTGATCAACGGCTCGTCCTTCCGGATGGTGCCGCTCGAGAAGTTCTACCGGTTCACGCCGAAGCCGCCCTTCAAGGCGTACTCGATTGAGCAGGCCGAGGAAATTATGGGCAAGAAAATGACAGCGGGCCGGTGGGCGATGCGCGACGACGAGAAGCGCAAGGCGCGGGACGAGCTGGAGGAGACGCGCAAGACGATTGGCGGCCGCGTACGCGTGAAGCTGGAAAGCAGCACATTCCGGTCGGCACCGCGGTCCGAAAAGGTGGACCACGACGACTTTGACATGGAGGGCGACGAGTTCCAGGACGACGACGAGAACGTGGGGCTGGAGCCGGACAACGACGAGGACTCCAAGGACACGCGCGAGCGGCTGCGGCGCAACCACTTGGGCGCCAACCTGTTTGGCGATGCCGACGAGAAGGAGATTGACAAGGAGGAGGAACAAGACAAGGCGGCGCGGAAAACGGGCCAGCTGGGCAAGCAGCTGCGGAAGGCGCTGGCGAAGCGCGAGGCGCATCTCGAGTACCTCGAGTATGTGGACTCGGACACCAACTCGGAGAAGGAGGATTTCTTGGAGCTCTCGGTACGTGACGCCATTGGGCGCATGAAGATGTACTGGTTTACTCTGTGCTGTTTGCCGAAAACTAACAATCTACAGAGCGAGGACGAAGACGAGGACGACGAGAAGAAGAAGGAGGAGGACGAAAAGGCCAAGGCGGAGGGTAAGGACAAGGACAAGCCGGCCACAGCAACAGGTACGCCCAAGGGCAGCACCACGCCGCAAGGCAAGAAGAGCTCTGACGCGGCTGCGATTGGCAAGAAGGGCAAGTCCCTCAAGCGGCCGGGCTCGCCGAATCTCTCGGAATCTAGTGGCAACGAGTCTTCGCGCAAGAAGGTCAAGAAGCACGCCAACGGCGGCTCCGTCCGGCCCAGTCGCTCCTCGACGCCCCTGCCCGGCCAGCCGCCGCGGGCGAAGATCCTCAAGAGCGGCTCCTCCACCGGTGGCGGCGCCCTGAGCGACGGCGAGGCGACCGCCGGCGAGATGTCCGACGGTGCCGCCAGTGGCAAGCGGCGGATCAAGATTGTCGGTGCCGGCGCCCGCAGCACGCCCTCGGGATCCCGCGCCTCGAGCCCGAACCCCACAAATGCCGGTGCGCTGTCACCTGGTTCCAGCCCCGGATCGCCGGGCCGTGCTGGTTCGCCCGGCTCGCCAACGTCCCGCGCCGGGTCGCCGGGCGCCGGCGGCTCTGGCTCGATGGACGCACAGGAAATTATTGCTGCGCTGCGCAAGATTCCCGAGGGCATCACCGTGGGCGGTCTGCTGAAGCAGTTTGGCAGCCGCATTGGCGACGGTCCGAACCAGATGAAGCGCAAGGATTGGATCAAGCTGGTCAAGGAGAACTCGGTCTTTGGCGAGGACAAGCTTCTGAGAGCAAAGACGCCGGGTTCTGACTAGGGGTCAGCGTGATGTTCCGGGGTTGAGCAAGCTGAAGAGGAGGTAGAACGGTGACCTTTTGATCTGAAAGGAGGTCGCTTTTGAGTATTCGCCGGGTTTTTGTGCTGCATGTCGGTAGCGACCCAATCTAGAGTAGATGGTCGTCGCAGTTTTTAAAATGAACTTTGACTCTATATATTGTTTATTTATATTTGCTTTTTGAATTATTTCGTGAAAAAAAGTCGGACTACCAATAAACATAATGATCATACCATAAGAACTACGATGAATATAAGCACAATGATTAGTGAGAATGGGTATTGTATTTCAGTTTGAAGTCCACGTGTGAGTCTTTATGCATTCTATATCAAAACAGTGTTCGCTAAATAAAAACAACAAATGCAAGGTATGCTCTCCACTCCCGACTACACGTCCATCTGCCACTGGTAGTTGAGATCCCGGTCTCGTTCCCGCCGGTTGATCGCCTTGAACCGCTCGGCCTCGAAGCCTATGCCGCGGTCCACGCCGTCCCACCGGTAGCCTGGTCGAATTCCGTAGCGATTGGGTGCTGCTGGACCCCGGTAGACTGGCCGACCCGACTTGGCCGCTGTGGATGCAGAACCGCCGCCGCCGCCGCTGCCGCCGCCACTGGCAGCAGCGGCCGGCGTCTTCTCCGCCAGAAACGCCGCCATCGGGTCGTTCCACCGCGTCTGCGCCTTGAGCTCACGGTTCATCGCCTCGTCGTCGGCACCGCGCGCCAGCGGCATCAGCGCCGCGTCGGCCAGCTCTTCGCGCCGCTGCCGCGCCTGGTCGCGCTGCACATCGCCCCGCAGCGCCTCCTTGGCGTCGCGCTCCTTCTGCTCGGCCTCGAGCGCGGCCTGCCGCGCCTCTTGGCGGCGCAGCGCCACGTCGACGCGGCGGCCGGTCGCATCTCGATACACCACGTCTTCCTCCTCCTCGCCCGACAGACCCCCCTTGTCCCCGCCGCCCCGTTGTCGCCGCCGCTCGCGCTTTTCCCGGCGCTCGCGCTCGTACTGCTCGCGCTCTTCGCGTCGCCGGCGCTCGAGCTGGGCCGTGACGGAGGCGGCCGACTGCAGGCCCGCATGGGTGCCGTCGCTCATGAGGACGGCGGACGCTCGGGGCTTGGCCGTGCCGTCCTCCCCCTCCACGACGGGCGCCTCGTCCTCGGCCGCCAGCGCGGCGGCGGTGTCTGCCGCGGCGGCCGCAATGATGGCATCGGCGTCGGTGTCGGCCGCGGTGTCGGCTGTGGTCTCGCCCGCGCTGGGTGTATTTGTGTTTGATTTGGGCGTGCTCCCCAACACCGTCCAGTTGGACTTTTTGGTTTTGCGGAACGCGGCCGACGTGCCGGCAACCGTGCCTCCTCCTGCTATAGTTGGCTCGTCGGCGTCGTCGTCGCTACCGCCACCGCGTCCACCCTTTTTCGCCCAGCCAGAGTCGTCATCGTCCGTGATCAAGAGTCCGTCGCCACCGTCTTTGTTGTGCTTGCGTTTGCGCTTTTTGGTCGGTTTCGTGTCAGCTACTAGGTAGCGAGAGGCGAGGTAGGATGTGAGGTCGGCAGGCATGGTTGGTCTACTCGGGAGAGGTCGAGGAGAAACGAGGTGGCTGTTGTGAGGGATGAAGCTCTTTGCCTGGTGCATGGGGTAGCTAAAAGCGACGCATGCGCCTTATCGATAAAAGTTGGTTTCGCCGCGCAATCACGTGACGGTATCTCATATATCACAATCACTCATATGGCTTGCAATATTTTGAAATGTAAATTGATTTGTTCGTTCACGCTTTCTCTTGCATAAATATTCATTAGTTTTTTTCGCAGTGCTAGTTGGTTCGTCGTGTCCTACAAGAACAGCTGAAGTGTCCACGTTTCAGTAAGCTCACCACCGCATGTTGCCAACCTTGGGAGTTTTCTACGAGCAGTTCCCCTGAGGAGGTTCAGTCGTTGTTACTGGCACATGTCACAGCCGAATATTCTTTTACAAATGAGATGTTCGAGAGGTTCTCTTGCCCGTCGCCCACTCCTCCCACGAATGGGAGGTGACACACAGAAGAAACGACGGGCCTTCAACAACCGAATGGGCCCCAAGAGAGGAGAGCATTTGTTCTTCCAACGGTCCGTTACGAGCTCGTCCTGGGATGGAATCTAAGCTCGTGCTGCCCGAAGGCAGCAACGCTGGTGTCTGACTGTCATGCGACGCCGTGACAAGAGGAAAAAGGGCAACGAGGGAGAGAGGGAAAAAGGGAAATGCGTAACGGGGAAGGGATCTGGGAAAGAGGGCTCAGAAAAAATAGTAATATTGTTAAAAGTCGTAACGTCTTGGAGACTATCCGTCTAGTATCCTGATCCCGTGCTGCAGTGCTCGTTCTCCGCCTCCAAAATTCCGAGTTGTTGGGGCATGTAAGTCAATGCGAAATGGTCGAAAGCAAAAGACCAATTAAAAAGGACAAACAAACCGTTATTGCTGCAAAAGCCAATTCCACATAGGAGTCCAGACACTTTCGCCTTCTCCGTTCGATAAAACGTGAAAAGACAGGCCAAAAAAATAAAAAATAAAGAAAAGCCAAAAACGCCATCGCTGTATGAATGTTTGTGTGTCGTGTTGTTCTGTGGTCAAAACAAAAAGCTGTCGTGGTGTGATGATGAAGGGTCATCATCGTCTGCCCGCTCCTCAGTCCATAATGTGCTGGAAGAGCGGCGACATGGACTCGCCATAGTGGTTGCGCCGGATGGCCTCGGCCAGCAGGAACGACAGGTCCAGCACGATCAGCTTGGAGGCATCCCGCGCCTGCTCGACGGGGATCGGGTAGCTGTTGGTCACGATGATGGCGTCGATGCAGTCGCAGTCCTGCATCTGCTGCAGGCAGTCGCCGCCGAAAATGCCGTGCGTGGCAATGCAGTAGACCCTGCTGGCCCTGCCGCGCTTGACCACCGTCTCGGCCGCCGCGATCCACGAGGTGGGCTTGTCAATCATGTCGTCGACAATAAACACGGCGCGGTCGCGCACGTCGCCCACCAGCGTGACCAGGCGCTCGACGTTGGGCTTGGGCGGCAGGACCTCGTCGTCGTCCGAGTCGGAGGTGCCGGCCTCGCCCGAGCCGCCGAGCGCGTGCGGCTCAGGCTGGAAGAAGGACGAGATGTGCGACATGGTCATCGGATCCTCCTCGACGACGCTGCCGTCGGCGGTCGAGACGGCCGGCGATGGGAAGTCGTCGGGCACAATGTGGCCCTGGAACAGGCGCGCATGCGTCACCTCGTGGGCCCGCTCGTCGTTGTACTCCGCATCTTCTTGGTCTGGCTCGCTCGAACGGCCGACCGAGCTGTCCGCCGGTCCCGTCGGGATGGTATCCGTGGTGGAGGCTTCCGACGGCGTCCGCGGCGGCAGTGCGGCCGTTGTGACGGCGGCGGCTGCGTGACTGGTGGGTCCGTTGTTGCCGCTTACTGATCGCGCGGCTGGCGACGAGGCACCGCCGTTGACGGTCGTCGCGCCGTTCCCGTTTGTGCTGCTCTCGCCCCGGTCGCCATTCACCAGCGGGCCGTCGTGGCCGTTGCTCGGTGCTGCGGCGCCCTGATGTATTGTGCTGACAACAGGCGATCTTTGCTCAATGTTGTCGAGGTGGGTCATGATCATGCTGGCCGTCATGTTGCTATTGTTGCGCCGGCGGTCCGTGGTGACCATGCCGAAGTTGAGCTTGAGGGCGTCCGCCAGGGACGTCACACGCTTTGTGCCGCCGGCGTTCTTGGACACGACCACGGCATCCTTCCAGTTGGGCACGTTGTGGCGGATCCAGCGGGCGATGATGGGCTCGGCGTGTAGGTTGTCCACGGGGCACTTGAAGAAGCCCTGCATCTGCGAGGCGTGTAGGTCGACGGTGACAATGTGCTTGACGCCGGCCACGTTGAGCAGGTTGGCGAGCATGCGGGCCGTGATGGCACCGCGATGCGACTTTTTCTTCGACTGACGGCTGTAGGGGAAGTAGGGAAGGACGGCTGAAACGACGCGGTTAGACATGGAGTTTGGGACAGAAACGAAGAAAAGAAACAAAGAAACGGTGATATGGACTGTTCACCCACCAGTAATCTTATTGGCCGAGCCGCCCTTGCAGGCCTGGATCATGATCAACAGCTCCATGATGGTGTCGTTGATCTTGGGGCTGCCCGACTGGATGATGAAGACGTCCCTTTCCCGGACGCTTGTCAGGATGCGCACGCTGGTCTCGCCCTACAAGGAAAAGAAAGAAGACACAGGTCAGCGACTTTGGCGGTCGACGATTGTTAGATCATGGCGATCGAGGCGATCGAGGTCAACACTCAACATACATTGGAGAACTGGCCCAGCTCGGTATCGCCAGGCGCCATGCCCAGATTCCCACATATTTGCTGTGTGAGCACCGGGCAGCTCGAGCCGGCAAAGATGGTCGTGTTCCGCATGATGTAGGAGCGAAACAAGAAGGGCGAAGGAGGAACCAAGAAAAGAACGGGAGAGAGTTTTTCGCAGCTCCAAAAACGGAGGGAAAAGAGAAGGGAGAGGGCAATTCAAATCAGGAAGAGCAGGGGGGAAAATGTTGGGTGGCAGTTTTTCCAGGTCCGTTTTCAGGTCCCTGGTCTCCCCGATATGGAGTGGTTCGAAGGACTCCGCACATGCGCAGGGGAGGAAGAAGCAAAGGAGGACGACGGTACGAGAAGTAAAATGTGGAGGATGACGAGAAGTTGCGGTTGAAGAGTGGAGACAGGAAAAAAAAAAACTGAGAAGCAGAAAGAGAAAGAGCGACGGCCGCCAAAAGCCGTGCTGGAAATGGAAGGAGTGCTGTAGTGGGGCTTTTCAGGCCACAAAAGGCGGTTGGACGAATAAGGTGCTGGCAGTATACTGGGTTTTCGGCTGTTTCTTTCACGCCAGCTGGGTCAATCGCTAGCTCCGAGGAAGCTCAGCCGGGAAGCATATGAAGACGAAAGATGACGAAAACCACGGCGGCAGACGGAGGAGACGTCGGCGTGACGTTTCGCAATACGAAATCTTGAAGCTGGAGACGTGAATTGAGGAAGGAGAGAAAGATGAAGAGAAGGAAGGAGGGAACGCGAGAAGGTGGGGGCTTGAACAAAATGGAACAGGCACATGATGGGTTGTTCTTTCCACTTTTGTACTTCTGTAGCACGAAAGCAGCTAGCAGGTCAGGCCACAGCAAAACTAGCAGGAAGGTGCGAACCAGACTCCATAATGGAGAATATAAGTCTCAGTTTCCAATACCACCGGTCGAATGGTCTAGTTGGTTATGACGGCGCCTTAACACGGCGCAGGTCCGCGGTTCGATCCCGTGTTCGATCAAAGTTTCTTTTTTTGCGCTGTCCAGCGATGTGAATGTTTGCAGATTTCATTTTGGTACCAATACCAATTGACGCATCTGGGCGACATTTGGCTTTCAGTAGACCATTGATGTCACTCAATTGCTCCTGCCTTTTTATTCCTTGCATCCAGCCGCCAACTGTGCTCTTGCCCTGGGCTGTTGCACTTGTCAATCGCTCCTTCCTCACCGTTGTGATGATGAACCCTTGCGGCCAAGATCTCTTCGCATCGCATCGAGAGAAAAAGGGGTGGCTTGTCTAAGGGCCGGTCTTTGCATTCCTTTTACTCTTTTACTTACCCATCCCCACCCCGCTGCCATGGGAGTCCCCAAGCTGCTGACGACGCTGGCGCCGTTTGGCGACCGCAAGCCGCTGGACAATGGCAAAGTCATCATCGACGGGCCCGCGCTGGCCTACCATATCGTCGGCCTCTGCATGGCGGATCCCGTGATGGCCGCCGGCCGACGCCACCCGCTCGAGCAGCCGACCTACGCACAGCTCGGCGCGGCCGCCACTGTATGGCTCGACACGCTTTGCAGCCGCCACAATATCAAGGTGCTGGCCATCTACTTTGACGGCTACCTGCCTGTGTCCAAACGGCCGGTGCGGCTGGAGCGGTCGTACCGGACGTCGGCGCAGCTCAAGGATGCCTTTTCGTTCTACCAGCGGGACAACCTGCCCGGGTTCGACGCCAAGGGCCCGCGCACGGGCAGTCTGTTGCCGGCACCTGCGTTTGCCGTGCCGGCCGTGCTGGACGCTCTGCGCGCCTCTGACACGCATTACAAGACGGTGACGCACGTCGTGCCTGGTGAAGCGGACGCATTTTGTGCGTGGCACGCGCGCAACCACGAGGCTGGCACCGTTCTGACGTCGGACTCGGACCTACTGGTACAGGACCTGGGCCCCGATGGGGATGTGGTGCTGCTGCGGGACATTGACCTTCCGCGCGGAGGCGGCGACGAGGCTGGCGCGGGTTCCGCTGCAGCCAAAACGACAACAACGACAACAACGACAACAACGACGACAACGACGACAACGACGATAGCAGCGACAACAACGTCACCGGCGGCGAGGCCGCTTATTGTCACCGCCTATCGGATGGCCGCCATCTGCCAGCGGCTGGGCCTGCCGGCCCCCTTATACAAATACGATTATCTCGCCAGCAACGAAGCGAAGTGCTATAAACTCATAAAGAGCGGCAAGGGGCTCTACGGGTTTGCATTTGAGCTGCTGATGGACCCGCACCTAAGCACCAGCGAGCTGGTCGGCCGTGCCAAGCAGGGGCTGGCCATGGCCCAGCACCCGGACGAGTACGCTGAATTTGTCGACCAGTACACCTTTCCCGAGGCGCTCTACGAGGCAGTGCTGCAGTACAACGCCAGTGGATTGGACCCGCGCGTGGCCGAAGTGGTTTTGCAGAGCGTGCTTCTTGGCGGCGACAGCCAAGGCTACCGGGGCGACGCTCTGCTCAAGCCGGCGGACCTGCCGATGCTCTTCTTTGCGCCGCCGCTGGTCGATGATTGCATGCGGACCAATGCCTGGGAAATCAGTGCCCAGATCCGGGTTCTGGCCTTTTCGCTGCTCAGGCGCCTACCAACGGCCGCCAACATGGGCGACATGTGGATCCGGGAATACGGGCGCATGGCCTCCACGGCATCGCGGGGGACGGCACTCGAGCTGTTTCCTGCAGAAGGCCGCCGACGTGTTAAAGCCCTGGACAATTTTATATCACTGTTGACGCGGATCCAAGCGTCTGTGCCGGCCTCGGCAGAAAACAGCAGCGAACTGCAGTGGGTCACTCTCGCTTCCTACTATGACATTGAGTGGTCCAAAGAGCACACCAAGCCGTCGGCCTGCCTCGATGTGCTCCAGAAAGAAACACCCAGCAGCGGCGTGTTGGAGCAGGTCACCTGGACGGGCATGCACTGGCTGGCGCAGATCCAGAGCACGCTCTACTCGCTGCGCATCCTCAAACAGATTGTGGCGTTTGTGAAATACCAGCAAAGCGAGCGAGCCGGGGACGACAAGCAGCTATGGCTGAGGATCGAGACGCTGGAGGACATGTTGTCAACACTGACACCCCTTGCCAAGTACCCAACTCTGCGGACCCTCCGCGATCTGCCGGCACGGCTCAAGACGGCTAATGCTCTGGAGGTGCTGGTGGCGCTCGCCGAACTCCCGGCGTCGATACCGTTTAAGCCGCCGTCCGGTTCCGAAACGAGCAAGAGCCGGAACCGGAACAAGAAACGAAAGCGGACTGGACACGCACCAGTGCGAGTACAGACTATGACGAACCCGTTTACCATTCTCGACGGAGCGGACTGAGGACTGGAGGCCATAGTCTGTACGGAGTAGTAGATACGGCCATGCATCACGTCCCGTTTGAGTGAAATGTAATTCACGGCATGACAATGAATTGACCAGGCCAGCCGAATATTGTCAGTGTCAAAATTTACAGCAATATGGGATCACCTCCCTCTTTTTACGAAAGTGTCCATGGCCAGCGGAAGAACGGTGAACATCATGAAGGCAACAGTGTCCGCTTGGTGTCGGAGTCTGCTTGATCAGGGCGTTTTAGGGCCTCATGAACGCCGCAGCGCGTAAAGTGGCTTGGCCCGACACGCTGACACGCCCTGGCGCCACCGCCGGCTCGCTGGACGCCCCGCTTTTTACAGTTGACGACGGCACCACCGCTGCCCATGATTGGCGGGGACGACCCGCAGGGTGTTCCTGCCTCTTTGGGCGGCCCTGTCAAGCACAACCTCGCCAAGTGGATCCCTCTGCCCGTCGCGTCTTGCAGGCCCAGGCCATTACGGCAGGAGCGCCAGAGACCGCGTCGCCATAATAACATGGCTTTTTGGTGCGTGCACCTCCCCTCGCTCCACACGACAGAGCACTGTTTTCACCGAGATCCTTTTCTTACAGCGTGTATTGTCTTTGATCGATCATTGTCTTTTCATTGTTTGCTTGGGACTCTGCATGTTTGTCGTTCCTGTCCATTGCCAGCCAACATCCATACAGCGTTTGTTTACGTGACCAGTTTCTTTCTTTCTTTCTTTTCTTTTTACTTTTGTTTCTTCTTCTCTTCTTTGTATCGGGCATTGATCATTGATGACACGACACGACTCGGCACGCCTTAATCGACATCGATCTCGCGGCTGCCGTACCTCCCGACGACACACGACCGACACACCTCCTCTCGTCGCACGGCGGCAGCCTTCTGCATCCTTTTCTTCTTCCTGTCCGCGACACACGTGACGCGTAAACGTGTGTTCGGCACGCTGCCCGCTGGCCTGCCTCGACAGCCATGTATCTGCCGCGCTCGCTTGTTTCCAAGCTGTATCTGCACCTGCAGAACTCGCGCCACCCGCTGGCGCCGCCTGTCCTGATCCTCGTCGCTCTCGAGCCCGACGCGCTCTGCGCCTGCCGCATCCTCACCAGCCTGCTCAAGCATGACTACATCCCGCACAAGATCCAGCCCGTGGCGGGCTATGCCGACCTCGCCCGCGTCGGCCGTGAGCTGGTGGCGCCCATGATGCAGACGCGTGGCGGCAACGGCGGCGTCGTGGTGTGTCTGGGCGTCGGCGGCACAGTCGACCTGGCGACGTTCTTTGGCCTGGAGTCGGACGACGACGACGACAACCTGGCGAGCGGCGAGCTGGCCTTTGGCGGCGTCGAGGTGTGGGTGCTGGACGCGCACCGGCCGTGGAACCTGAGCAACGTCTTTGGCGGGTTCCCGCTGGAGCCGGCCGGCGACTCGCAGACGGCTCTCGCGGCAACACCGACGCCGACGCTGTCGGGACGCGTGCCGCCGGGTGTCCGCAGCGGACAGATTGAGCGTGCCTACAAGCCCGGCAAGGGCGGCATGATTGTGTTTGACGACGGCGACATTGAAGAGGACCTGGGCGCCGAGCGCGATGCGTACATGGCGCTGGCGGATATGCCCGAGATTGACGACGACGGCCACGACGATCTCGGCGAATCGAGTGACGAGGAGGAGGAGGAGGACGACGACGAAGACGACGAGGAACGGCCACCAGCGCCACGCGCTGGCCAGAAGCGCAAGTCTTGGCTGGACGACGAAGAGGAGGAGGACGATGGCGACGACGACCGGCCACACCAGCGGCGGCGCAGCAACTCGTCGAGTCCCATCCCAGACGCGCCACGGCCCAAGTCACGGCCACTCCTGTCCCTGAGGGGTCGTGAGCAGCCGTCGAGCGACGCCGTGGCCTTTTCGGACGAGTCGCGGCACGACGAGGACGGCGACGGCGCCTCTTCATCAAGACGACCAACAGCGTCCAAGAATGCCCAGAAAACGCAGAAAGCCCCCTCGGCACGCACACTCCGTCGCCGTCTCCTGCGCCTCAAGCACGTCAACGAGGCCATCCTGCGCAAGTACTACCGCATGGGCGCCTCCTACTCGGAGCCCATCTCGTCCATGATGTACTCGCTGGCCTCGGAGCTCGGCCGCGAAGACAACGACCTGCTGTGGCTCGCCATTGTCGGCGTCACCTCCATGGAGCTGTATGGCCGCTCGTCGGCCGGTGTCGGCGTGTCCGTCCGCAGCGCCGACACCAGCCGGCCCACCACGGGCTGGATGGGCATGCGCGGCGCGCGCATCCGCCAGCTGCTGCGCGACGAGGTGCGCCGTCTCAACCCGCCAGACGCGACGCCGCTGGCCTTGTCCGGCGCCGCCAATGGCGTCACAGGCCGCTCCTCGCCCGAGTTGGGTATCATCCCGACGACCGCCCGCAGCCCCGAAGACACGAGCATCCGCCTGTCGCCCGAGCCCAAGTTCTTGCTGATCCGCCACTGGAGCTTGTACGACAGCATGCTGCACTCGCCCTACCTGTTTTCGCGCCTCAAGATGTGGAGCGAGACCGGCCTCAAGCGCCTGCACAAGCTGTTTGCCAAGATGGGCGTCAGCCTCGTCCAGTGCAAGCAGAGCTACTCGCACATGGACATGATGCTGAAGCGCGAGCTGCGCGTCAAGCTGCTGAAATACGCGTCGCTCTACAACCTCGACGGCATGGTCCCCACCATCGACACGGACGGCAAAGACCGCGCCGGCGCCAAGGATGGCTGGGGGTTTGTGCGCAGCTGGGGCTGGCGGGCCACGCTGAGCGCCCAGGACGTCGCCGTTGTCGTTGGCGCGCTCCTCGAGGTGGGCAAGAACCAGGGGGCCGCCCCTGTCGCCGGTCATGCCAACGGCGGCTCCCACGCCAGCAACGCCAGCAACGGCACCGCTGCTGCTGCCGCTGCCGCTGCCGGCGACGACGACGCCCTCGAGGACGACGACGAAAGTGACCCGTCCGAAGAGTGGGTCCCCCGCTTCTGGGACGCCTACGACGCGCTCGAGAGCATCGAGTTCCTCAAGGACGGCCTGCGCACCGCCAAGTTCTTGCACCGCGCCATTTTCAACACGGGCACCGCCCTCATCAAGAAGAAGCAGATCACCCACCTGCACGCCTTCCGCATGTGCATCGTCAAGGACGGGCCCGACGCTGCCGTCTTCAACCACCCGGGCGCCCTCACCAAGCTGGCGTTGTGGATCGGCGAGGCGCTGGCCGAGCAGGAACGGGACGCCACCGGCCGCCTCGCGCACGGCGGCCGCGGCACCCCCTTGGTGGTGGCCTCGCTCAACGAGAAGCGCGGCGTGTATGTGGTGGTGGGCACCGGCGGCGGCGGCGGGCCGGACATGCTGGCGCAGAACCGGTCCGCGGCCCGCCAGAGACAAGAGGCGCGCGCCGCGAAAGCCAAGCTGCGCGAAGACCGGCGGCAAGCCCGGAAAGCCCAGCGTGACGAGGCCAAAGAGCGACGACGTGCGGAGCGCCGAAGTGAGGAGAACGAGGGGGAGGAGGACGAGGAGCAGGAGGAGGAGGAGGAGGAGAGCGACTCGTCCGAGTCCGACTCGGAATCCGACGACGACGACGTGGACGAGACGTTGGGCGAAACGAGCCGGGGGTTCGGTCTCAACCGGTTCGGCACCGCCTTCCAGGACGTCGTCGCCGAGACCAACACGCGCGTCCGCATCGACAGCTTTGAGCACTGCGTGGTCGAGGTCAAGAAGGAGGACCTGGGCGGTTTCCTGGAGAGCCTGAGCATGAAGGCCGTCGTGGGCTGAGAGACGGCAACAAAACGGAACGAAAGGGTTTACGCTACATGGGTTTTTGGAGTGGGTCGGGGTTTATATTGGCTGGTGTTTGTTGTCTTTTGTGCAGTGTCTTTTACTGTCTGTTACCGTGTCTATATCTCTTTGCTTTTGTGTATTATGCTCTGTCTGTATGTTTGCTGCAACTGCATGCTATCATTGTACATTTGTGCTCTCTTTCACATCATAATTGTTTGAACGTTAGATACAGGCGATGGACACAGAATGAATTACGCTTCATTGTTCTACTTAAAAGGGGAGACGAAAGCGTGCAAGTAAACAGAGTGGTGATGTTGTTGTTAAAACTCCGACGCAAATAGAGAGGTGCCCCAATACGCACTCTGACCCAACCTCCGTCCAGCACTTAAAAGGCAAACCACCGTGCCAGCTCGGCCTTGAGGGCGTCTACGTTGATGTCGGCCCTGTCGTCTACCGCCCAGGCCACAATGCCGTCCGGCCGCACCAAGAATGCCTGCAGGCCACGCTTGGCCGCCACGTCTGGCGCGGCCAGGTAGTCGACACGGCCCGCGTACGCGCTGGCCGGGGCGACAAGGTCTCGGAGGGAGGCGTTGACGCCCTCGGCCAAGTCGACGAGCAAACCGTGGCCCGTCGCCAGGTGGTGGTTCAGGCGCGGGCTGTCGACGCTGTCGGCGCTGTTCTCGTCCTTGCCGTCGAGCACAAAATCGGGCGCGCTGAGGCCGACCAGCGGGTGCTTCTGGGCCGGGTCCGTCGCCGGGACGAGGTCGTACTTTTGCGACAGGCCCCAGAACAGGCCCATGAACAAGTTGGCCCCGTCGACTGTGTCGAGCGTCTGCTGCAACAGGGACCGCACGGACCGCCCAAAGACGTCCGGCAGGAACGCCATGGACTGTGCGCGCGACATCTCGAGCACCTGCGCGGCCACCGGCAGCCGCTCGGCATCGTACGTGTCGAGGAGGGCCGTGTCCACAGTGTTGGTCGCCGCGTTGGATGCCCCGTTGGTTACCCCGTTGGTGGCCGCGTTGGTGGTTGCAGCCACCTCCTCCTGGCGCACGACCGAGGCCAGCTTCCACCCCAGGTTCATGGCATCGCCCATGCCCAGGTTCATGCCCTGCGCACCAAATGTCGCGTGCGTGTGCGCGGCATCGCCCGCCAGCAGCACACGGCCCCGACGGTAGTGTGTGGCATGGCGGCAGCGGTCCGTAAAGGACGTGGCCACACGCAGCGCCGTGATCTTGACCTCGGGCACGCGCGTGACGCGGGTCAGGACGGTCTGCAGGTGCTCCATGGTCAGCTCTTGGCTGCGGTCAAATGCGCCGTCGTCGGGGTCCATGAGGTACACTGTGTCGCCAAAGGCGCCCGCAATGTAGAGACCGCCGTCGGTCACAGTGAACCCGGGCGTGAGCTTGTCGCCGTTGGTGATGTCGCAGCGCATCGCATAGCCCGTAAACTTGGGATCGGAGCCCTCGACGTGGAAGCCGGCGGTACGGCGGATGATGCTCTGGCCGCCGTCGCAACCGACCAGCCAGCGTCCACAGAACGTCTTGGTCGTCTCCGTCGTCTTGGTCGAGTCATCTGCCGTGTCGGTCGCTTCGACCTTTACACACTCGCTGCCCTCCTCGCTGCCCTCGACAATTTCTGTAAGTGTGTGGCCGTACAGGATCTCGACGCCCAGGCGTGTGGCCCGTTCGCCGTAGACGGCTTCCACCGTCGCCATGGTCGTTGGGCCCGGCACCATACCCGGCCCGTTGACACGGTACTTCCAACGCCCAAGGTCCAGCTTGTTTGCGTCAAAGAACATGCCGGCAAAGTGGCCACCGAACTGCATGCCCTCGGTCTTTTTGAACAACCGCGTCGAAGCTGGCGGGCCGTCTTTGCCGCCGGGGCCACCTTTGCCACCGGGACCGCCCCGGCTCTTCATCATGCCTTTGAGGTTGGTCTTGTCGGCAGGGAAGACGGTGTGCAGCAGGCCGCGCCGAGACAGGCACTCCAACGTCAGCGTGTTGACGCCTCGGAAGCCCAGGGGCGCGACCTTAAACGGCGACTCCACACCGCGCGCGGCGTCACGCTCAAGGACGAGCACGGAAGCGCCGCCGAGAGCTAGCTCACCGGCCAGAAAGAGACCAACGGGGCCGGCACCCGCGACAATGACATCGTATGTCTTGGACATTGCAATGTGGGGTGGGTGCGTTCGGGAGTCGATGTTGTAAGATAGAGCAGTTGTGGTTTTGACTGTTGTTGCTGGTCAGTGCATCGTTTGCTGGCTTCGGCGACTCTTCTTCCTTTATAGTTTCAGAGCACCGCACTCGGGGTTGTTGTCCGTCTTCCATTTCTCGTTTATCGGGCCCGTGGCTGTTGTTGTCGTCGCCGTTCCTTGAGTCCGGGCGATGCTCTTGTCCGTCGGTTGGCTGGCTCGGGCGTTAGGAACTCCCGGGCCTTGTTTTCCACGCCAAAAGCTGGCAGCGGCTCCTGTCAGCAATTGTTGACGATTGTACCCTGTTCCAGCCTTTCTGGTCCTTCCTCGACATTCGTCTTACTCGTTCCTCCGTCCGACCAGGCTGCAGCCATCTGGTGATTCCACGAGAGACTAGGGAAGCCTCTGTGTGTCCATCCGGTCGCTTTCAGAGTGGCCCTTTCGACCCGATCACATCGACTCCGCTCCATTATGCCACGGAAGCCATTCCTATGTGGCTGTGGGCGTAGATGACGGCGTCAGTATTCTCATGGCCGCTCTCTAGTCGCTCTTTCGTGTAGCACGTGCGTGTGTTATACCATGCGAGTAGGCACCGAAATTGAAGCTATCGCGAAAGCAGACGTTGGCCGCAGTTTCTTGTCGCCCGACAGATTTTGGGGCTCCCCCCTTTTGCTTTTCAAGCTCTGCATCGGGGCTTGGCTCCTTCCCTCTTTGCCCGGTCATGCAACCTTGGTAGACGATGACATACGGAAGGCACGACTGGGCGATGCCACGCTGCCATTCGAGCCTCAGCTTCGTCCCTACCCAGTTGGCCGACATGTCGATCGCACTCCAGCTATTTCACGGAAAGCGAATGATAAGAGACGAGCATTTGTGACAACAGCGGTGCTGGCGTCGCGTACACAGCCTCACCAAGTGTGTTTTCCGTCGGCAGACCATAACGTCGTGAAGACAGCAGACAGCCGTTTGCTGTCGCCTCTTTTACGTCCTCTTTCCTTTTTGGGACAGTGGCTGAGTCGATTGCCGTCTCTTGCCTGCAGTACAGTTGGACTCGCGCTTTCCCTTTCATGAGGGCTTATTGACGTTGGACGGTTTTTTTTGCACCAGTTTCTCCCAACTCTATTGCTCCTTCCTGTCTTTGTCGGTGTCGTGTCGCACGTAGCAAAATGCATCGCCGTGGCAGGCACGAGAGAATATATAAGTCGGGAAAGCGCTACCTCGGGCGCCGTTTGCCACAGAGAAAGAGCAAATAGCACCACGGCAGCCAAGAACAGTCCAGGCACGAAACTGTTCCTCAACACGACGTACTTCTTCTACTTTTGTACCTTTCTGACATTTTCCGCGGTGTTTCGCGCCCACCCTCTAGGATCAAACGCCCCCCCCCTTCTTATGCCTTGAAACACCCTACCGATCGGAATACGTGGAGACGCCTGTGTTCGATCGCAGCCCCTCGATCGCGCCTGCCTGTCTTGTGCTACAGAAAGCAGTTGCCAATTGTCAATGACCGCAACAGCGCAATTGCCGCAAATTGTGCTTCTGCTGTAGGTCATTCGTTCTGTCCCAATTGTCGCTGACATCAGTGCCCTTGCCGCCTGCACAATTGTGCCCACCTCCTGGCGCTGGTGCTGATATGCTCATCGGCGCCTTCCATTTTTACGACTCCTCCGTCACACGCCAAGACAAAAGTCTCCAACTAACTGTTTAGAAGCGGCCGCAGCAGCCGGCCAGTGACATAACGGAGATTAATAGGGGGCAGGAGCAGACGTAATAAGACCAAAGCCCAAAGCCCAGAGCCCAAAGAAAAAAGAAATTTGAAGGAACGCAGCGTGAGACTGCACAAAAGAATCGCCGGCAGACACCGTCAGAGCAAGTAAGGTCCGGTCCTTACGATACAACATAGTATTTCCACATGTAAGTGATTGACCGGTCCCAAAACCGGCCCAGAACGGCCCAAAAAGACCCTGCATCGCCAGTCGAGCCCCGACAGCACCATTGCCCGATTCCGTCCTCCAAGCGCCGTGGCCTGGCCTGCGAGCAACTGCTCTCTGCTCTGCTAGCAAAATGGTGACACACACGACCTGTGGGTGGATGACGTTGCTGCTGCACACCTTGCTGTTAGCTTGACTGTGTAATTACGTCTGGCGCACCTTCCATCTGGCGGCGGATCCTTTTGGCGGATCATTTTGGCGCCCATTTTACGCTACGGCGAATGCGGCCGGTCCCTGTGGCTGCCAGTGGCCTGGCCGCTCAGTGGCTCTTGCCTCGCCCTTCCCCTCCCCGCACACCGTCTTGCTCGCTCTTGCTGCCTCTATCAATTCCTTCCGCAATCGTGTAATACACCTCTTCCAAGGGAAAGAGCCCCTCTATTTCACCCTCCCTCCGTGCTTCCTGCTCCTGTCCCCCCTTCTCCCGCCTTCCACTCCCTGCCTCCTCGTCTCAGATCAGGAACGCACACACGCACTCAACACAACACGCAATCGAATAGTGACCGGTAAGACGACGACGACGGGCTCCCTTTTCTCACCGCACGCACGTTCTGACTAGTCCGTGCCTCCTACCATCCTTCCTCTATCTCACTCGTGCTGTCGGCCCCTCCCCTCTCCTCCCCCTGCCTCGTCCACTCTATTCCATTTCAGCCTTTGCGACGGTATAAACGCCCCAGCAAGCAAGCAGCCAAAAAAGTACGGGCAGAGCAAACCATCACCGTTTTCCTTCCCCTCTCACCATTTATTTTTTGGCTCTCGTCCTCCGACTCGCCAGCGGTTCTTCCTACTGTCTCCTTGCGTGGTTGCTTACATCTGTGCCAGTTTTCCTAGACGATTCCTCGAGATACCCTTCCCCCCGCGACCTTTGATCGATCACCATCGCCGACGACCACGCGTGCCAACGATTCAGGTCCTTTGAAAGATCTCTGTCGCCTCTTCCGAACACCTCCCATCTCCTGCCGCCCCGGAACGTCACCGGCTGGCCTGGCGCAGCGCATGACCAGCAGCGTCGTGAGATAGACCATCCACCTGCCGACGGTGTTTTCTATACAGACAAGAACGATACAATAAAATACACATACGAGACTACAAACGGCATAATTACTTCAAATAGACAAGCCACAATGGGCAAATCGTACGTGTCTCGCCGCCTGTCCCCTGTGTCCGGCGACCCGTCGCATCGTTGTGGTCGTGTGCGCGTTTGGCGGGAAACACTGCCGGGCGATGGCCCCGCGCTGTCGCGCGACACGCCAGAAACGGCCGACTGTTCCCCACACCGTCCATCACCCCGAACCATGTTGCTGACATCGTTGGCCTTGCGCCCCGCCTCCTCGCTACAGACAGTCAAAACTTTCCCAGGAGCAGCTGGCAGAGCTGCAAAAGTCGACACATTTTGATAAGAAGGAGCTGCAGCAGTGGTACAAGGGTATGTCTTTTCTCCACGTCTCGCTGCGCTCGCGTTCCCTCGATCGACTGGACGTCTCCTCGACGCCGTGCCGCCTCTTCTCGCCTCGTACTAACAGACCCCCAAGGCTTCCTCCGCGACTGCCCCTCGGGCATGCTCACCAAGGACGAGTTCCAAAAGATCTACCGCCAGTTCTTCCCCTTTGGCGACCCTTCGAGCTTTGCCGACTACGTCTTCAACGTCTTTGACTCGGACAAGTCCGGCACCATTGAGTTCAAGGAGTTTATCGTCGCCTTGTCGGTCACCTCCCGCGGCAAGATGGAGGACAAGCTCGACTGGGCCTTCCAGCTCTACGACATTGACGGCGATGGCAAGATCAGCTACGACGAAATGCTGAAAATTGTCGAAGCCATCTACAAAATGGTAGGTCTCGGTCCCCTCCCGCCCCCTTTGGCTACACTGATTTTTTTTTTTTTGGATTTTTTTTACTGTCGTTCTGTCGTTTGCTAACTATCCTAGGTTGGCTCCATGGTCAAGCTCCCCGAGGACGAAGACACACCCGAGAAGCGCGTCAAGAAGATCTTCCGCATGATGGACAAGGACGAGAACGGCAGCCTCGACATGGACGAGTTCAAAGAGGGCAGCAAGCGCGACGAGACCATTGTGTCCGCCCTGTCGTTGTACGACGGGCTGGTGTGAGGTGTGAGGTGTGAGGTGTGAGGTGTGCGCGGGAAGAGGGAGAGGAAGAACACGAAAGAGAATGGGCGTTTTATTTTTCCATGATTTTATTTTTGGCTGTTTTTGTTTGCAACGATCGTCACCTCTTTCCACCAAACTAGTGTTGCTATTCTCGGCGCGCCGCCTTGCACAAAAAAGGGCATCCCTTGACCGTTCTTCTTGGCACAGACTCTTTTGTTCCACGCCTTGTATTTGTTTTGGTCCGGCAGGTCCTGTGTGACCCTACAGACAACGTGGCGACATGCCGTACACGGGCTCACGTACGTAACGAGCTCATTGTTTTCTTTCTTGGATGCGCTCTCGCGGGCAATGTTGTAATGTTGCCGCTCCGCTTGCCTCGACGAGCGGGTTGCCATGCGGATTGCATGAACCATGTGCCACGAGCACAAGCGTTGTGTCCATCGGGTCACGACATTGCACAAGGAAACAAAAAAGGTACCCGAGAACCGTGTATTTCTTGCTAGAACGTGCGTTATACCAAAAACAGCAATACACTCAAAAAAGATATCCAAAGCAAAAACGAAAGAGTCCGGTAAAATAACCAAACACAAAAACAACTATAAAGAAGAAATAGAGTTGTCTTCACATCAAAAGGGGGAGCAATACAAAAAGCCCATGCCCCCATCCCGGCAATAAAACAAAAACACGAAAATAGGGAATCAGCAGAGAAGAGATAATACAATAGAACAAGGAAACTAGACAAACAATAATGGGTAGCGCAAGGCCGGCCTGGTAGAGTTAGGCATAGGCTACCGTCTAGCTCGACGCCGCGCCGTAGGCCTCGGCCACCTCCTTTTTGAACTTGTCCAGGATGCCGCGGCGGTTGAGCTTCTGCGCCGCCGTCACGAAGCCGTTCTGCGGCGTCCACTCCTCGTCGGACACGACGACGCCGTCAATAATCTCGATGCCGGACAGGCCGCCCTGGCGACCGGCGGCCTGCAGCTCCTTGAGCACGGCGGACTGCAGCTTCTTGTTGTGGGCCAGCTCCTCGAGGCCGGTGCCGCTGATGCCAATGGACTGGGCCAGCTTCAGCAGGGCGGGCTCGGCGGGGACGATAATGGCAATGGGCTTGGCCTTTTGGGCGTCGGCGTAGCAGCAGATGTTGGCGACGACGGCGGCCGAGCGGTAGATGGACTCGAGCTTCTCGAGGGCAATGTACTCGCCGTTGAGCGTCTTGATCAGGTTCTTCTTGCGGTCAATCAGCTTGAGGTGGCCGCGGCTGTCAAACTCGCCAATGTCGCCCGTCTTGAGCCAGCCGTCGGCGGTGATGGTCTCGGCCGTCTCGGCCTCGTTCTCAAAGTAGCCGTCCATGACGCTGGGGCCGCGCAGCCAGACCTCGCCCTGGGGGTGCGGCTTGTTGGTCGAAAAGTAGCCGGCGTCGGGAAAGTCGACCAGCTTGGCCTCGACCGAGGCCGGCATGGCGCCCATGGCGTCGGTGGTCCACTCGGCCGGGTTCTGGAGCACGCCCATGGCGGTGGTCTCGGTCAGGCCATAGCCGCTGATCATGGGGCAGATGGCCATCGAGATGAACCGCTGGGTGTCCTTGGCGACGGGGCCGCCGCCGTTCATGCAGAGCTTCAGGCGGCCGCCCGTGGCCTCCTTGATCTTCTTGAAGACGACGGCGTCGAGGATGCCGGAGCCGGGCAGGCCCGTGGCCATGAGGTTGGTCTTGGCCCACATGGCGCCCCAGAAGAGCGAGCGGACAATGGGGCTGCCGTCGTTGACCTTGGCGATGATGCCCTTCTTGACCATCTCCCAGACGGCGGGGACACCGACGAGGATGCTGGGGCGGAACTCCTTGATGTCGCCGTTGCAGTTGCGCACAGATGCGTCGGACAGGGTCTTGGGGTTGCCGTAGCCCATGGTGGAGCCCCAGAAGAGGGAGGCGTTTTCAAAGACGTACTCGAGGATGTGGGCGGCGGGCAGGTAGGTCAGGAGGCCGTCGCCCGGGCCAATGTACGGCTGGACGACAACGCTGACGCCGCCCACGGCGGCAATGACGTTCTTGTGCTTGAGGGGCACGCCCTTGGGGGTGCCGGTGGAGCCCGAGGTGTACATGATGCAGCACAGGTCCTCCGGCGAGGGGGGCACGGCTTCGACGGGGTTCTCCTCGCCCAGCTTGAGCAGCTCCTCGAAGCTGCGGACGGTGATGTTGGGGAAGGCGGCCTTGAGCTTGTCGACGTGCTCCTGCTTGACCTGGTTCTGGTCGTTCCAGATGACGTGGCGGATCTCGACGGCATCCTTGAGGACGTTGGTCAGGATGGGCAGCAGGTGGGGGTCGAGGAAGATGGCCTTGGCCTTGGTCGCGACCATGGAGTGGCGCAGGCCTTCCTGGCCGAGCGTGTCGTAGGCGGTGACAATGGGCATGGACTGGGTGGCGGCGCCGTGGGAGAAGGTCAGCCAGTTGGCGCTGGTGGCGGCGAAGATGTGGACGCGGTCGCCGGCGGTCAGGCCGAGCTTGCGGAAGCCGGCGCCGATCTTGCTTATGCGGCGGAAGTACTCGTTGTAGGTGATGTACTCGTAGCTGCTCAGCTCAAAGTAGGTCCACTGCTTGTCGACGAGCTGTTCCTCGCCGTCAATGACCTTCTTGATCTTCTTGGTCTCCTGGTGGGTGCGCAGCAGGCGGCGCGAGCCCATGGCGTTGGCGTCGCCATGCTTTTCGACGGAGACCTTGCAGAGCTCGTAGACGGTGGTGATGTTGGGGGCGGGCGTGCCGACGATCTCGGGGACGGCCTTGGGATGGCGGCGGATGGGGGTCTCGCCCTCGACAGGCTTCTGGCCGGGCACCTCGACGGAGAAGGGCGGCCGAGCCGAGACGCGCGGCGAAGCGTGCTGGATAACCATTGTGGAATGTGGAATGGGGAATGTAGAGAAGGTGGTGACGAGCGTAGGATGAAGCTCGGTTAGGTTCAGTGTCTCCTTCTGGCAGTCAGTCTAACCGGGAGAAACGTCTTCTGTTGTCAAGTCAGCCAATGCTCGATGTGAAGCTGCAGGCGAGCAAATAGAAGAGGGAAGAACCGGCGAGCGGCGGCGAGGTAACACGGCAGAACAAGGAGGCCGACCAACAGAAAAGGGCGAAGAGTGCACGAGAGAAACGGGACTTTGGCTAAAGAGGCCAAACTTGCTGAGGTGAGCTATATTGCGCAGGGTGAGGCTGGTGACAGGGCAAGGTCGAGGCAGAGGTCGTGGATGTGGAACGGATGACTGTGAGAGAGGACGGGAGAGAGGACGAGAGAGTGGACGAAGAGGGCACAAGAGAGGGCAAGGCGAAGGAGACAAGAAAAGGGATCCCCAAACGATAGGAGCCCGATTCATGGAAAGACTGGGCGAGGTTATTCCTTGGTTATTTCCTTACCGTTTAATTTGACGAGCTTTGTCTGAGGCGCGTTTGGTGCCTTGTTTTCTCGGATTCTGGGTTTCTGGGTTCTGGATTTCTGGGTTTCTGAGCTGCTGCGACTATGAGACCTAGCACGGAACGCTGCGACGTTGTTGTTCGGGTAGCAGAACGGAGAGCGAAAGGCTAATGGCGGATCGAGACGAATACAAAAGTAAGATGAGTAAGTTGACGACGGATGTCGGCAGTTAGGGGAGGAGGGACAAAAAAGAAGAAAGGAGGTGAGAAAGTGTCAGAGGAAGAGAGAAAGAGGGCCGATCCGAGATTCTCGTGAGAAGTTGTTTAGCTCAATGGAACGCACAAGGCAGGAAGGAAAACGGAGGGCTGGAAGGCTGCGGTGGGCAGGGGCAAGAGCGACCTGCTGAAGTGGCAGGTGCGTTTTTGGGGCTAGAAAGTCGGGGAAGGCGCAGCTGGGGAGGGCGCGTTAGCCCAGGAGGGAAAGAGCGACTGCACGTCACAGAGGTCTTTTCTACGGGGTAGTGTTGGCTAGCATGGCTCTATGGGTACGTGTGCGAGCGCTCACTGGCCAAAACAATATGCCGTACGGTACACAGTATACACGGGGAGGTCAAGTGATTGAAGTATGTTTCGTAGAATCGACACGTTGTCGGTTGGTCTGCGGCCAAGCTCTAGAGCACAGGCAGGTTGGTCCTTCCGATGTGGTTCACGTCATGGAGAGCGTAAAGTGTCGGCTTGGTCGTTCCTTCTTCAATCACAGGCGCCAGCCAGCCAGAGCTTGTCGCATGCCAGGCAGTCGCACGCACGACGGCATGCTTTTTTCGGGAAGGCACGACTCGTCGACCGCGGCTCACACTTGATTTACACTTGATACTTGTGCTTTGTCTCCTATGCTCACGATGGCTGCACATGTAGAGCTACGGAAAACTTCGGCAGACATGGGCGAGCGAGCCAAGGCGCAGAAAACCTGGAGACTTCTTTCGACAAGAGCTCAAAGGCGAAAAGCACAAAAGCCAGGCACCCACAACACCATCCCGCAGCGTTTTGTGCGGAGAAGCAGGCGGCGCTAACGCACGCCGCGCAGGCTGGGAGGGGCAGGGGAACAACCTGGACGAGTACCCTGGTGGTGGCGGCCAGGCGCGGAGAGAATTGAGACAGAAAGAGGATGTTTTTTTGGTGTTTTCTTGGTGGTGCTGTCTTGGAAGGCCTATGCCTATCGGGTCGGCTGCGGTGCGACCAGGATACGCCCCACTTGACACCAGCTACAAGAGGGGAAAGAGCGACTAGGGAGACTTCGAGGCAAGGAGTTGGTGAAGAGACAGCAGGACAATGGCGCTAAATCCCAGTGTGTGCTAGGGCACTCCTCCGCTGTTTTCGCTTCCAAACGGAAGTACCTTTTAATTACATGTAGATGCAACACATAACCCAGCCATTCCGAAATGTACAGAGTAGAATCAGGTCTTGCCCCCTCCCCAACAAAGATGATGGCAAATACGGCGTAAAATACAGGCCCCCTTGGGTAGTCGATGTATTTTGGTGGATACCGTGGGCCAGTGGCTAGAAGGATCGTCACCACGTATTTTGGTGCACGCCTCCACACTGTTTCCAA